ACCATGAATGACATTGCACAGAAAACCGAGGTAGGTACCGATTTCAAGGGGGTCAAACCGTGCAATAATTTACTACTGATGCTTGCAGAAATGATAATTACCAAAAAAAATTGTAATAGGTGATTATACTGGCAGTCTGCTGCTATTGCTGTTATTTTAAGAGAATGGAAGGGGACTTGAAAAACTATATATGGCTGTTGAATTGTTGCAGAACCCCCCATACATACTGGATTATTCACCTATGACTTTATCTCTGTTTTAAGTGTTGGGGGCAGAGGGGATTTTGGTGGCTGGTTATGATTGAAATCAACAATATAAATCTGTAATTAATGTTTAAAGGCACAGTAACTGAGAATGCACATTCACACAGTTCATACCCTTAGTTTTGCAGCTGTTCCTTGCAATTACTTTTAGCCTAAGTTTAATGTGATGCTAAATGCTGGTTTGGTTATTTTAGCATTTATTGCTATTTATGGCTGAACTGATGATGGCTCATGGCACAGAGCTCCTGATATCAACTGCACTTCTGTTTTACATTCTTCCTAATCTGATCTCTCCCAATATTTCTGTCCATCTGCTTCAACTTTCTTTTTCTTTTTTTTTATTTATCTTCACTTCTTCTCTATCTTCACCAAGATTCTGCTCTCTTCATCTAAACCCGTCCCCAAGTCCTATGTGCCCAAGCTTCACAAGGGGGATGTGAAGGACAAATTTGAAGCCATGCAAAAAGCAAGGGAAGAAAGAAATCAAAGGAGATCTAGAGATGAAAAGCAAAGAAGAAAAGAACAATATGTTAGAGAGAGAGAATGGAACAGGAGAAAGCAGGAGGTCATTTTCTTTGCTAATATTTTGTGTTGGTTTGAATATTTGATGTTCTGTATCTGAAAATCTATTCAGTAATATTGGGATTTTATTGAAGTTATAAAGACAGTTCACTTGCTGTGTTTCATCAACCAGATGAAAGAGCTGCTGGCTTCTGATGAAGACGATGACACCAAACTATCTAAAACAGAAAAAGGTTATGTCCCAAAACTAATAGGTAAGAGAGGCCAGGCTTTAAAGGCCCCATAATTGACCTGATAAGTAGTAGATGAAAGTATTTATCAGTGTGTTTCACACTCCCAGGAACTGTTAAAGGCAAGTTTGCAGAAATGGAGAAGCAAAGGCAAGAAGAAGAAAGGAAAAGGACGGAAGAGGAGAGGAAACGCAGACTGGAACAAGATCTGATCGAGAAAAGAAAAATCCAGAGAGAACTGGCAAAGAAAGCACAGGAGGTAAGTGGATGTGATCACAGCAGTCAGGGGAGATGGGGAGCGTTGTATTGATCAGAAAGATTCAATCTTAAGATTTCTGACAGTAGTGATTTATGTGGGAGATCCTCAGTGGGGTGGAAGTGGGAAATAATGCTCAGAGACTCTTCACTTCTTTAGAGGAAATCTTTTTTTTTTTTTTTTTAAAAGCTGTAAAATTGAGTTACAGGTGAAACCAGGCAGGCAAAAATGTGGTAGGAATCAGGCACAAATTTCGGTGTCCTATGCAAACAAGAGTTTACAGAGTTTGCTAAACTAATTTAAAAATATTGCTTTTATTTGCCCAACCCTTACTTAGGCAACTCTTGCTTGCAGGTTAGTGAATACAGTTCAGTGATACATGAACTGAGGCAAGCAAGAAGCAGTGAGAAAATGCCACTGGCAGACAAAAATGAGAGGACATTAATGCAGTAAAAATCATAAATCATGAAGATCCAGAACTTTTTATTCCTTTGCCACTTTGTGAATCATCGTTGCATATACATATGAACAGACTGCAATTTTTGTTGCTGCCAGTAAAGCAAACTCTGTCTTGTGTAGAATTCAGTAAGTGGGTGTCACAGTAAATCCTTTTGCAAGCTGATTTCAGTGCTGTGAATGAACCCTGCAGTGAGAGTGAACATCCACAGGATACCCTAAAAACATGGGTGAATTTTTATTGAACCAAAACACAGTCATACTTGATTCAGGTTGGGATTTGTTCTGAGAAATGAAAACCAGGAGTCAGCGTTCAGATAGATAGTCTGTTCTACTAAGGCTTTTAACACTGTTCCAGCTGTGCTTTTAACTGGCAATGTATCTACCATCCATTTAATCTCCCCTGCAAGTCAGAATGTAGAGTTCCAGACAGGCCATGAGGTGAAGCAAACACAACATTTGGCTTTTTGAGGGGCAGACACTGCCCCGTGCATCACAAACACTCCCTGAGCTTGCTCGAGTTCTGTCTGCTTTTTTGTTTGCTTGGGTGGGTTTTGCCGTTGTTTGCTTTTTTGCTGTTTGTGTTTTACACAGTCCTGGAGCGCTTCAGTGGTTATCATCATCATCCCTGAATTGAGGTGCTCCCTTCATCTCTCTGATACAAAAAAAGAATCTCCAGTTCTGTGTTTGCAAACTCTCTTAAGGCAAAGAGCCAAAAGCAATGTAATCATGTGAAATTCTCATTTGATAGATTGGTGACTTTACCAATACGGGGACTGACTCAGCAGCTGAGGTAATCGGATTTTTTTTAAAGAAATGTTCACCTACATTTTCTATTCACTTTTGTTTTATTATTGTAATTTGGGTGGGGAAAACTTGGAAAAGGGCACACAAATACCTACCTGAAGCTAAGAGATATTTAGAGTATATGGAACTGTATGTCTGCACTGGAAACCAACATATTGAAGTTTGAAATAGAGCCTGCACTGTGGATACTTTGGGCTTAGTTAAAAACATCTAAAATGTCGATATTCAAAGCCATCAGAATTATTTGATATATACTGGTAATGATACTCTAAGTCTTCTGGCTTTGGAAAGAATCATCTTAAAAGCTCTTTGCCTTAAACTTGAAATTAAAAGGGGCTTCTGACAACATACAGATGTTTGAACATATCACTCAGTTAACTTTTTTTTTAATTGACTAATTTACCGTTTGGATTTTAAGTTTTGTTTAATTTCAAAAAGCTGGGTGCAAAGGTCCTATTGTCTTTCACTAACACAAGAAAATCACACTCCAACTACAGTTTGGGAAAGGAAAAAACACCCCCCAAAATCCATTTGCTTCAACTGATTTGCCAGTGTCCCTGTTAATCATGGCATTCTGTGGAAAAAAAAAAAAACACAACCAAAAAAAAAGGTAAAATGTATTTTGGCAAGCTGTAAAAACAGCTTTGAATCAGCAGCTTCCTTCAGAAAACAATTACTGTGTGTGAGAAATTACAGATTGCTCTCTAGAGCCACAGCGTGTCCTCTGCATGGGAAATGCTCAAACTGGAGGTGGAGCGTGGTTACAACTGCTGTGTGTTCCAATTTACACCTGTCCTTCTCCATCCGTTTTTGTAACTAACATTAATGGGAATGTGTAAGGAGATTAAGGTGTTTCCCAGAAGTTTTGTTTAAAGCAGAATTCAGTGTTGACACTCCTCAGCTGTTACAAGGAAAGCAGTGAGTGCCACAGGCAGTGGGATTTGTTCTTGTGGTTGATGCTCAGTCTCCTGGGAGCTCTGGTGCACACGGGTCACAACAGCAGTCCCATTAAGAAATGAGTTTATTTAGAAGTCGAGCTCCATGAAAATGTAATAAATATCCTCCTGGACAGGAAGGGGATGATTCACTGCTAGTTACAGTAGTGCCTGTGAAACCCACCAAGACACCTGGGAAGATGAAAATCAACTGTGAGAACACAGGAGAGGAGAGAGCAGAACAGAGACTGGAGGAAGAGATGAAGAACGAAAACCAATTCCTCTCGATTGTCACGGTAATCCCCCCCATCCGAACCCACCCGAATGAGGGGGATTGACTGGTCTAAGATACAACTGCTTCATCTGCCTCGCACAGGGTGAGGATGGCAGCAGTGAAAGCGCCGAGGCGGTGTCTCCCGGCAAGCTGCGGGTGACGTTCGAGGAGCTGGAGCGGCAGCGGCAGGAGCAGCAGAGGCGGCGGGCGGAGCAGCAGGCGCGGCAGCGGCGGCAGCAGGAGAGGCGAGCCCTGCAGGGCACGGTGAGTGCAGCTCTGCCCCCGACAGCACAGCTGTCAGCAGCCTGACGGTGCCTTTTTTGGCCACTCCCTCAGTGACCCCAAAAACACAGCTTTCACTCCGGAGGGTTTACATCTGCACTTTGTGCTGCCCTCGGCTCAAAGGCTTCACAAAGATTACTGGCTGCCTGTTTTGTTCCTAAAAGTGCTGCAGATGTTTCAGTGACCAGTTTTTGAGGCAAACATTCCCTAGGAACAGAATCCTGTTTCTCATTCTGCATTTATTTGTAAACGTGACAGAAAGAAACGTTGATTACAACTCTCCTCTGAGGAAGAAAGGGTAAAAAAGACAGATCAGCTCCCTTGTATACACTGACATAACGTACAGTCACGATCACTGGGACTTTGTTCATTTACACACAAACAAGATTAACAAGAAACGAGGGTTTAATCTTCCATAGAAAGTTAGAAAATGTTATTTATAGGACTTTGCTAACTTCAACAGACTGCAGTTATGAATGGACATTCTTAGACAAGCAGATCAAGATCACTATATTGACTACACTTCAAAAACATTCAAGAAATGTGTATTCTACAGAAACAAACCCACACAAAACCAACACCACAGAACCTCCAGAAAGCTGAAACACGGAAATTCTCAGCTGGTCCACACTGAGAGGGTTCGAGGTAGGGGCAGATACCCAAATTGTAGTTTACTGCTCCACCTCCACCTTCACTTTTTCACACCAGTGACATTCTCCTTATGTCAACAATGCACCTTTTTGTTTGGGGTTGGGCAGCAAAGGAGGAGAAAATGACACAGAGTGCCCTTGAAGTCACCAGCTGTTCTAACCTGAGGTGCAGTTCCCTTCTCCCACCCTCATGGACATGCTTTTATTTACCAAGTAATATAAAACAGTGAGCAAATTGGCTGCATCAAAAGAAATCTTCTAACAAACATGCAGCTTCATCTGCTCTGCAGTGGTTGTCCAAATCTGAAGTGAAAGTCTTTTCCCAGGTACTCTGGGGTGTCTCTGAAGGGGGTTTGGTCTTTAGTCCTTGACTGCAGTTTGCAAAGCACAGGCTCCTCTTTAGGTGAGTGTTCACTGGAGACAAGCTACAGTGAAGGGATCACAGCACCTCACTTCCCTTTCTTCAGTGATGATTAAATGCCTAAAAAGAAAAGAAATAAAAATCTCAGTCTGGAATAACAGCAGAGTGTTTGTTAATTAATTGACTCAGTTTTTCTATAAGGTTCTACAGCATTTTTTCAACTGGTGCACTGGTGGGAACAATTTCTATGCCAACAAAAAGACTTGATGATATAAAATCTATGAAAGTGATGTAAATAAATTGAATAGGGAGTGATTTACAGTAAAGATCCAACCCTGAGGCCACAAAGTGAGTGCTTAACTGTGCACAACACACTGCTGGCTCCTTGAATTACACACCCAACAGGCTGTTGAAAACTGCAGAAGCTACAAACAGGATACTGAAAATTGCCCTTCTCCCTCCCCTGGCTAAAGCCAAGATTGAAATGTTTCCCTCACGGAGCAAACAACGTTTATAAGAGCTCAGAAAGGAATTACTGGAGTATTTATCCTCTATAGAGAAAGCTTTTATGTTTGGGTAAATCCCTTCTCTTCTTTCCTCTCCCCTTTCTCTGCAGGGAAACGAAGGTGGCGACGAAGACTCTGAAAATTCCGTTCAGGAATTCCGCCCTGGGAAACTGAGACTGAGTTTTGAGGAGCTGGAAAGGCAGAGGAGGGAGGAGGAGAAGAGGAGAGCAGAGGAGGAGGCAAAACGCCGCATGGAGGAGGAGAAGAGAGCGTTTGCTGAGGCCAGGAGGAACATGGTATGGCAATGATTTCATCATTTACCTCACATTCACAGTGGAAGGAAAGCTAAAAGCTTTAAACAGAGTTAGCAATGGGTGATTAGTTCACCTCCCCCACTAATTAGAAGGTCAGGGGGTAACTAAGCAAGGTCATCCACCCCAAACCCTCACAGAACAATCCCCCCTCACACCAAGCCTGGAGAGGATTCCAGCTCATTTACCAACCCAGACATCCCATCCAATGGATATTTCTGTGCAACAAACTTGGAAAGCAAAATGTTTTCACCAGGAGGCTTTGTTGGGTTTTTTTTTGGGGGGGGGAAGAGCAGTTCTTTCAACAGCTCCAGGTTTCTCTCCACACCTTTACAGGGTGTGCACCAATCACCCCTTACAGCTAAGGCCCAATTAATGGCACACCAGTGAATTATCCAGTCACCTGGGGCTCTTTGGGAAGGGAAAATGAGGAAAGGCTGAACCCAGCTAATTGAAATGCAGCTCTTAAAGCATTTCAACACAAAAAGGGACCTGTGGCATTTCCCATCAGAGCAACTTTAATCTGGGTCTCCCTTAGATAAAATGCAGAGCTCTGGGACGTGCAAGGACTCCTGAAGTTTGAATTCAGATGATCCTGAAGACAAATTTTCAGGGACTTAGGACAGACATACTGACATCAGCTGAAAGCAGAGGAAGGTGCCCAGTTGCAGAGGGTGGCAACAATATTATTCATCAAAAGAATCCCCTTGCATGGAGCTTTTAAGTGCAGTCTTCACACTAACCCCAACCTCCTCAAGTTTCAGCAGGCTTTTAGGTACAAGGCTGACTGGTGGATATTAGGAAATACAATATTAAATCACCCAAATAGAAACATTTTAACTGGCAAACACCAACTGCAAGCCTGGTAACACCTCCATACCCCCCCACCCAGCACCTGAGGGACTCCTGCCATTGCAGTTTTTATGAAGAGCCAGCACAGAACTAAAGGCAAGCAAAGACAGTATGAGCTGTCTTCTGTTTTTTCCTGTTTTCTTGAGAAATGCCCTTTTCAGCCTCAGTGTAGCAAGAACCTGAGCTCAAGGGTCCTGGCAAGAAAAATCTCCCTGATTAAACAGGGCTTAGTCCATTAGATGCAGCACAGAGAGTCTGCATTGTGACTGACACTGAGAATGGTCAGTAACTAAAAAAATAACTGAGAATACACCCTCCCCAGCACCAAGGCGAGCTCTTTGAGACTGAAGCAATGATCTCTCAACCTCAGCAGTCTCTACAAAAAGAACCTGTCTCAGAGCACATAAAAAAGAAAACATTCTGCTTCCTCTCAGCCCCTGTTTGCCCTCAGAGTGTTGGCTGGCTGCACTGGGATTATTCATTAAGTAGTTCACAGCTTTGTTTTCAGACTTCACCTTTCCACAACACAATTTCACCAGGTGTGCTCATATCACACAAAACAAAGGAGGAATGGGAGGAATGGTGGGGCTGGAAAACTTCCCAGAGGGAAAATCAGGAGGGTGTCCCCAGTGAACAGCAGGATTTGGGCTAAAAAAGTACTGAAAGAGCTGTGGCAAATAAAGAGGCTGCGGGCAAAGCAGGCCAAGGCAGGGAGAGGAACCAGGATGGCATCACCAGCAGCAGCAGGTGTGGGTTCCATGGCAGGGGGTAAATGTTTCTACCCCAGAAGTGCCTGGCAGATCTCTGGGGACCTGCAGGTACCAGCGGTGTCTGGGCTCACCAATGCTCTGCATCCCCTGCAGGTGCCGGATGAGGAATCCCCAGAAATGTTTAAAACCTTCTCTCAAGAATCCCTCGTGCCTGGGAAACTGGAAATCAACTTCGAGGAGCTGCTGAGGCAGAAGATGGAAGAGGAGAAGAGACGCACAGAGGAGGAGCGGCGGCAGAAGCTGGAGCTGGAGAGGCAGGAATTCCAACAGCTCAGGCAGGAAATGGGAGAGGTTTGTACACCCATCAACAGGTTGGGTCTGAATATTAATCATTAAAATCTCAGGTTAAGACTGCAGCTAAAAACCCCTTTAATGTTCAATAGACACGTTCAATATTATGTGAGAAGAAGGAGAAACAGAAGCCCAGCTTTTGAAAACAGTGGATATAATGATAATGGCATATTTTTATCACTGATCTAACCAGGGGAAATGTTTTTATCTCTTGCCTCCCTTAAACTAAAACACAGTTTCCAATCTGTGATTTTATTTTGCAGTCACTTCTGGAAATCTCTAGAGAGTATTATTACTAAAACAATTAGACAATATTTACTGTATTGGGAGAACAGAAATCTCTAGTTTCCAAATGAAAATACAAAAATAAAGGTAGGAAGGAGCAAAAAATCTTGCTTTTCCTCAGGGAAATACTGCGTTAACTAATGAAGAAAGAAACAGAGGGCTCTTCCTCCTTGGTGTGTCAGGGCTTTGAGGACTGTCCCAGCTGACTGTAAAAATCACACAATTTGCTTGACATTCCAAATGTTTTCAATTCCAAATGAACTTTACACTTCAGTTTGGCTGGGGGTGGCAACTCTTTATTATTCCCTTTGGAATGTTCAAGGACATGATTTTTTCTTAAGCAAAGCTCCAGTGAGTAATAAAGGCAGTGACTTGTGATGTTCTCAGAGTAAGGGAGGGCCAGGGACATCCAGCTAAAATACATCTTTACCATCAGCCACAGGGCATAAAAGGAGGGAGAAAAATATCAGCAATTAATTCCAGCTTCATACATGGTTTGACTCCAGGATCCAGAGCTGCCCCTTCTTTCCCAGCCACGACATCCTGAAATGTTATTGGCTTTTTACTGAATTAAAAGAAAAAAAAAGGAATAATTTTAGGAACAAAAATAGCTGTGTTTTAGAAGATTATTTCATATCACATTGCAAGTATAAAGGTGAATTTCTGGATCCTGGATTACTCAGTTTTTCCTACTGGTGTCTGGTTTTCTGAGTACTCAGACACAAATGGAGTCATCCTGAGAACAGGGAGGACAGAAATGTTCCAGGGAAAAGTCTCTGCTGATTTCCAGTGACCAAGAGAGCTGCAGTGCTTTAAATGACACCTTTCTGGGGGAGAATGGGCGGAAAAAATAATTACACATTGTGTGATCTCTGAACAGCTGGAAGAGGAGTGTGAAACTTTTGAGCTGAGCAAAGAATACGAAGAATTAATCAAGCTAAAAAGAAGTGGTTCTATTCAGGCAAAGAACTTGAAAAGCAAGTTTGAGAAAATAGGGCAGTTGTCTCAAGCAGAAATACAGAAGAAGATTGAGGAGGAGAGAGCAAAGAGAAGAGCAATGGATGAAGAGATAAGAGAAAGGGAAGCTGAGAAATTCCAAGAGGTGAGTTGGGCTGTGTGTGTGTCAATGATTTCACTGGCCAGCACACTGAGGATCAAGCAGGGACTGTGCTAATGCTTTTATCAAGCTTTGGTAATATATTCTAAAATTATGGTTTCCTTTCTTTCCTGTTCCTTCCTGGGGTGCTTGAGGGCATCTCAGCCCAGCACCCCTGAAGGAAACAGCACCTGCTCAGGCACAGAGCTGGTTTTGTGCTCCAAGTCCTCCATTCACCATCTTAACCTGCAACCTCCTGCCTGAGAATTATCCATCATCACTCCCACTGCTTCTCCCTCTGAACTCTGATTCCTTCCCCACTGTATGAATTAAATCAAACCCACTGCCCAACCCAACCCAAACCATTTGGTGCCTTTTCCTCAGGTTCACTCGCTCCTCAGGGCAGAGCACAAGAGGGTGCCAGGCTGGAACCTCACACTTTAAAAAACCCCAAGGATTGGAGCTCCTCAGTCTAAACAATCAACACAATGACCCAAGAGCCCAGTGGGAGCTTTCCTGCCGCAATCACGTGGCGGTTCAGGATCCTGAACAACCCTGGAACTGCAGCACTCCTGAGCTGAGCCTCAGCCAGGCCCCTCTCACAGCACTCACAGCTTTTAATACAAGGACTGACACCAATTGTTTCTGTAAGATCAACCCGAGGGGTTGAACCCACACCACCACCATGGCATAAAACACTGAGGATTTACCACTGCCACTAAGTACTAAACTTCTTTATGAATAAAACTGCAGGAGGATTTCCTACCTATCGCTTTTGAAATTACTTCTGCAAGTATTTTGCCCCGTCCCTGAGACAAACTGTGATGATTTTAGACCCACCATTAAACAAACCCGAGGAAAGCCAGGATTTTGAGTGGCTTTTCTCAGTCAGAAAGCACTGAGGGAACACCAAATCAGTGTTACCATGTCCAAGGTATTAATGAGGCCTGTTTGAATGTTTCCTTCCCCAGGAGGACGATGTAGATGTGAGACCAGCCCAGAAATGCGAGGCTCCTTTCACTCACAAGGTGAACATGCGGGCCCGTTTCGAGCAGATGGCGCGGGCGCGGCAGGAGGAGGAGCAGAGGAGGATCGAGGAGCAGAAACTGCTGCGCATGCAGTTCGAGCAGAAGGAGATCGATGCAGCCTTACAGAAGGTAAAATTCCTCACTGTCATTTACCTGTGCTTCTGATTGATTACCACTGATGACACAAAAGGAGCCTTTTACTTGTTTTAGCAGTGCTGGGAATTGCTGAGGTAACAGAAATAATAGAGAATTGCATTTGGTGTTTACCCTTCAAGGGGTTAAATACAAGGTTTGGGTTGGAAGGGACCTTAAAGATCCCGGATTTCTGACCCCTGACATGGGCAGGGACACCTCTCAGCAGACCAGGCTGCTCAAATCCCCCAGCCTGGCCTGGAGCACTTCCAGAGGAGATCACAACATGCAAAGACTTGAACAGTCTGGAAGGGGAATCCACCCCTGTGCCTGTTGTGCACACCAACATTCCAGCCTCATTAAAATGCATTTCACTGCCTGCTGCATCCCCAGCTCCAGAGCATTCTGTTCTGTCACCTGGTGAGGACAGGGTGGCACTGCCCCTGCTCCCAAGCACCATGACCTGTGATCAGATGTGCATCACTGGCACTCACTGCTACTGCCACTTCAAATGTTCTAAACCAGCTTGTTTCAAAACAGAAAAGAGAAGAGGAGGAAGATGAAGAGGGAAGCATCATTAACGGTTCTGCTTGTGAAGATGAGGAGGATCAAGCTCGATCTGGAGCTCCCTGGTTCAAGAAGTCCCTGAAAAACACGTCTGTTGTCGATGGCGAGCCAGTGAGATTTACAGTGAAAATCACTGGAGAGCCAAAGCCCCAAGTGACGTGGTGGTTTGAGGGGGAGATGCTGCAGGACTCTGAGGACTATCAGTACATTGAGAGAGGAGAGACCTACTGCCTGTACCTGCCAGAGACCTTCCCTGAGGATGAAGGGGAATACATGTGCAAAGCTGTCAACAACAGAGGCTCAGCTGCCAGCACCTGCATCCTCACCATCGAAAGTAAGAGTTAGCATTTTCATCTGCCCAATTCTGTCTTCTTTTCATCCTTCCTGTTATCAAAACCTAATTACCTTTTTCTCTGAACCCTTCTTGTATTTTCTAGCTGATGACTACTAATGCTCTACCTTAGCTGGAATCTTTCTTCCCCTCAACCTTCTTACTGCATCATCTCTCTCTCTGATGGGGCCAACTAAAGAAAAGGATATGCAATAATTTGTCATTCCTGCATCACAATAACCTTCAAATTATGAGTGTGTCTGGATTCCCTCCTCAAGGCAAAAATCAGTTTTAAAGGTTAAAAAAAAAAAAAAAAAAGAATCAATGTATGAAAGATCAACAAAGGAAAAAGCTGAATTAAAATAGTGCTCCCCCAGTAAAGACCAACTGCTGCCTGACGGAATAAACTGAATAACCAGCTGGAGATGTGTCCTGGTGTCAGTGTGTTGGGACATTCTGCATGAGCACTGAGTATTTCAGCTGTTTAGCTTTATCCCAGAGCCACTGAAGTGGCAAAAGGAAATACTTATTGATGATGGTCAGACACCCCAGTGCACTGCTTTTAAAGAATTAGAGATTCCCCAACTGCTCACCACTTTCCAAAGAGCATTAACTTCTTGTTTCAGAATGGGCTTGCATTTAACCTGCTGTGCCCTGCTCAGCCTGTGCAGATGACAATCCTGCAGTACAACCATCTCCCTTAGGGCTGTTGTGGTCCTCATAATACCAACACTGAACACTGTCTGGGAAAACTTCTGCTTTTCTGACTGGTTAAATGATGCAGGGACAGTTGGTGACATTTATGACTGACTCATACTTTAAGCTTAGAAGAGACAAGCTAAAGAAAAAAACTTGTCAGAAAGTGCCTGTTTTCTTAATCTTTATGCAATGAATTTATTGGCCCATCTCTAAACATTGTCTGGAGGCTCCTCCTGACATCAACACTGATGTCACTGTGCCAACACCACCTGAACCTGATTCAGCTTCTTTAGGAGTAACTTCACCAAAGAACCACCAACAACATTTGAAATGACAGAACGTGTGCACAGGCCTTGACAAAGCCATGGGAAGCTGCAGTAAATTAAAGTTCTGCAGTCACTTCAAAAGGAAATCTCCCTGTGGCAGAACCTGCTGCTCTCTGTGCAGTTCCCTACTGGAATTCAAAAAAAATGGCCCCAAGTTTTAATTGGTATTTCCCCAAGAGCCACTTAACCAGACTGTCCCTCACTTCACGTGGGTGATGCCCATGCACACAAGCACCAGGTGCTGCAATATTTCTCCTCTGAAGTTGTTATTTCAAACTAACAGAGGCAGGGGACAGGAGCACAAAGACGACAAACCCATTGCTATTATTATCCATCAGTTTACATTTATTGAGAAAAAAAAACCATACAAAAGCCATCATACAGTTAATGTGTACCCATATTACATACAATGTCAATGCAAGCTCAAAACCACATTTTTGTAAAGCATTCAATTTACCTCAAGTCCAAGCTGCATCTCCCTAAGACACTGTTCCCATCACAGTTGCCTTTTAAAGCCAATCTTCGTTTTACACACGGGTAGTTTCTGCAGAGAACACTTTTCTCAGGACCAAAAGGCATTCACATGCACGCAAGAGAAATATTTGGGCACACAAAAGAGTTTCCCAAGCTATCTACACTAGGGGAGAGGGGATCCTGGCAATTGTATGCTGGCTGAAAAGCCCAGGCCTCCCTTCCTCCCCCCACAGCTTCCAGGATAAAAAGCAAAATAAAGAGCTTTTAAAGCATGCAATGGAAAACTTAAAAGGGTTACTCTGGAAGAGAACAGGGGAGAAACAGTTTCTACCAGCCAATAAAACACCACCAGAAACAGATGAAACACCTCAAGGTTAGGCTGTGCGAGTGAATCACGGTCTGTCTGCCTGGACAAGTGCCACAGACGGCTGATGATCCAGCTACCCTGACGATCATCTGCCTGGTGCTGTGGTTTCTGTGCTCATGGAGTACAGGCTGCAGCAAGGGATACAATTCCTACTGAACATCCTGCTGGCTTTGCAGCTCCTCACACTCCTCACCTGCTGCTCAACCTGGGGGGCACTGAAGGGGGGCTGGACTAAGTGGGCAACACTTCAAGATGCCTCTTGGCCAAGTTCACTGCATTTCTAACAAGTCCAGTTACCTTTTCTGGCTGCTGGAGAGCTCCAGCCACCTGCTGTTCTCCCAAGAACTACGAGTTTGGAGACACAGGTGAAAAGTAAACACTATCTGAGCACAAACCAGCACGTCTAAGGCCAGTAGTGAGAGCTGCGAGTCACACACCCCAAACCCTGCACACCAGAACATCCCACCTTCCACACACCACCGACACCCCAGCCCGCTGGCTGCTGCCTCTGCCTCCTCCCACAGCCTAAATGAACAGCTGAGACACCGGGCAAGGGATTTGAGGAGCAACAGTCAAAGAGAAAAGTACCATGTAAATAGGAAGTGAACAAATGGCTCATCCCCACACTAAATTCACAGTATCAAAAGCTCAATGGAACACACACCCCTAACCTTTCCTCGTGTCAAAAATGAAGTTAACATGTTAAACTACAGATGAAATAACTAAGTGGCTTGAGAAACTGAAGCACAACTCTTAATTTAGTTCCAAAATTAACTTGGCTGTTTAGAAGAATATAAAGTAAAATAGATGGTTTATATTATTCAATCACAGTTAAAGTAACAGATTATGGAACATTTATGGTCAAACAAAGAATACTTCAAAAGAATGAGCAGTGATCAACCCCAGACTTACAGCCTGCCCCATCAGGGATGGGTACATTGCAGATGTGTCATTTGTGCCACTGTTACCTTGCACATGGAGCCCCTGTACGGTCCATGCTCACTCAAAGGTTCCTCTCACTATCTCAGCACCTGAGTCTATGAGCTAGCACTGGGTGCTTGCAGCATCTTCAGCACTGTGTGTGAAAATGAAGGCAGGGTTTTTGAATGCTTTTCTTGGATGTACAGATAAGCAGGACTTTGGAAAAGAGGAGCAGCACATTTTAGAAACAGAATCATGAACAAAAAAACCCAAAGATGCTGCTTTATGTTAAGCTAAAAAAAAGAAAAACCAACAAGAAAAACTGAAAACAACCCCCTGTACCAGCCCATCTGTAAGACATATAACATTTTATACTATCAAATACACAGCAATTCAGTAAAGTCTCACACAGGATACACTGACTGCCAGATCAATGCAATACCTGCTGTGCTTGCACACGTCAGTGGTGCTCCCCCTGCAGCATCTGCTGTCCTACCGTGCCAGGAGCGAGCACACTGAGTTATCTGCAGGTCCCACTACCACTGCAACGCAGGGCAGAGGCAGTCACAGCATCAGCTTCTGGACAGGAGCTCTTACGGCTTTAATGGGAATTGTAAATGGGAATTGCCCTACTGTAAAAACAGTTGTGAAGGCTGTTGACATTTCTAACCAAAGTAATTCCTGCATATTTGAAAAGGGTTTGATTCTTAAATTGCAACAATTAAGAGCTATTTGAGGAAAAGTAAGCAAAATTACTTATTCTGATCAAGTTCAATTACTGCAATCTAATCATCTTTTCTAAAAAAAAAATAAAACAAAAAGAAAAACGAGAAAAAAATACATATTTACCTAGAAATAGAAACAGTTGTTTAAAAACTTAAGACTTTCCACTGAAATGGAACCGTGAGTAACAATGCATTGGGGGAAGCAGCAGATTGCTTTTCAATACACAACCACAAAGATCTCACAGGGACAACATTAATGTACTGAAATAGATTCATTTATATACTTCCTTAGGTTGTGCTTACCTGTTGCTTTTTTGCAGCAGAACCTAAGGTGGAAGGTCTGGGAAGGCACTGTGAAGTATAAATAATTGCACTGTTTGCAATTAATAAAGATTTTATACCTTAAATGAATCAAAATCAACAGCCTCCATTTTGTGACTGATAAAGAATCCAGTGAATTTAATTTTTGCTCAGTTTAGTACATAATAAATGCACCATTCTGTAAGGTTATCTACAAAATACCATGCAAAATACCTGAACTATTAAACTTAATGCCCTACACTAAAGATAGCAAATACTGTCCTAGCCTTTTTCAAGCTACCAGCATCATTCCTACTTTTAAAAGGGATAAAAATAATTCCTTCTATTTCTACAGCACAATACATACATTGCTGATTACCTGAATATAAACTACTTCAGTTTTCAAGCCTTAACTTTTACTTCTCTGTGCAGCCACCCTAAAAAAATTTAATTCTCAAAGCAACAACATGGTGTTCCAAAAAAAAAAAAAAAATTAAGCAATTAACAGTTATAGAATTATTTAAAACATACCTACATCACTACATATCCACAAACTGGCTGAAGACAAAGACAACTTCTGGCTAACAAGTGGTTCCAAAGACTTCAATGTTACGATATGCAAACTTTAAAACACTGAATGACAGCTGTCTCAGGAGTGCTAATGAGAAAAGCTATTACTCAGAGAAACAGAAACATGATTTGCTTTAGCTAGTGCTAAAAGTTTCAGGAATACTTACCCACAAAACTCATATTATGTGTATGTAAATATATAGAGAGAGAGATAAGCAAAGCTACGTTTGTGAATGAAGCAGCAATCAGGAGTTCCTAAGATTATCAGCACTGTATTCCAACATAATATCACACAAGTACATTTTGCATTATGTGGAACATTAATTGACAAAAAGATACTGTTGCAGTTCATCCATTTGTCATTCTGATGTACTTACAGTGCAATGCTCCTTGAAGGAACACTCAAGGGTGATAACACAGCACAGTCCTCCTCACCCCTACAGAGCTAGTGCTACACTGGCTGGATCACCTGCACTCCAACAGACAATGCAAGACAGGCTGTAGTGCACAAATCTCACAAATGCAAAGAGCAAACAGAGCTTGTCACAACGAGCATTAGAGCAATAAGAAGTTGCAAGGAGATATATATATATATATATAAAAAAAATAATCAGTCGATTCAAAATAGTCGAATATTTACAAAACCAGAAGTTATCTGCTCTGCAGGAAGTTCTCAACTGACAAAAGAGCGTTTCGAGGACAGAGCAATTTTCTATCTGCTATGCAAACCACATTGACTTTCTACACTGCATTTCGAGTGGACTACTTTAAACTGAAGGCTTAAGCACATTACACTTAAAAGTCAGTTTTAGGACTAGTCTGAAAAAATCCATCAAATAGTTACGCAGGAACAGTTTTAAAAAACAAGAGTCATCTGTTACAGCAGCTGCACAGGTCTGAAACAGTGGTCATGGACAAAGGAAATGTCACTGTTAATGCAATGCAAGTTTGCCAAAAGATCACCTTCTGAAACACATGCACTTGGAATCAAATAGAAAGAAAATTAAGGTATCAAGATTACTGGTGCTAGGCAGCAAAATACAACGAAATGAGAGAGATCCTCCATCTACAACTATTGTGCAAGAGGGGAAAAACATGCTAATGACAAGCTTTAAACTCCACCAGGTCTCACCAGAGGGGGGGGAAAAAAAAAAACAACTCATTTGTGGACAGGTACCTTGAGTCAGCGTTGCAAATCAATCCTATGACTCTGCAACACCCACATATCCAACTTACCGACACAGGAGGTTTCAGATTATTTATTGTAAAGCACAAAAACAGGCATTTTAAAAGTGATAAAGTATACATTGAAAAAGTACATTTATATCACAAAGCATTGACCACATAATTGCAAATACATTTTGCTGGAATGTGTACATCTACACTAATACTAAAAACAAACCATTTTTTTTTTTGTCGTCGTTTTCATTTCTACACAGAAATATTACCTCCTATCAGTAGTGATAGATATTTTGTACATTTTCAAAAACACTATTTTTTTTTTTGTTTTTTAAACCAAAATTAAGATCTTCATCAAGGCGTCTGCATCCATACATTTAACAAAGGTTTTTTCCCCCACACAATGAAGCAAATACTGTATTGTCCACTTCTTATTATTGGCCCTGTGCAGAAGAAATACATAAGAGATACACAAAAAGTTAAAGAAAATCCTTGAAACCGAGCTAACTCAGGAGTGAAGCCTTTAAGAAAGAAAAATTGGTTAATGTAAAATGGTGGTGGCTTCTTGCATGGTTTTCAAAACCCTGGGAGGAGGAGAAAGTTTTTCCTTTTTTTTTTTAAAATCAAAACAAAAAACCCCCAAAAACATAATCACCAAACATATGGATAAAGATACAGAGTTACCAAGGTAAATAAACGAAGTTATCTTATTAATTAATTTACTCTGAGAGCTACTCGGCTAGAGGAAAATAAATAAATAAATAAATAAAAGAGATGCACACTCCGGAAGGGACAGAGCAGGAGAACATGCAAAAAAAAAAAAACCAAAAACCCCAAAAAAACCACCTGTACGATCAAGTATGAAAGGATCAGAACACCGGGACACTGTACCTGCGGCGCTGGAGGGTGTTGTGGCATCCCCTGCGGGCTGCTCTGAGCGTAGTAAGCTGCTTGTTGCCGGTAATACTCGGCCCACGCCGCGCTGTAATCGGGCTGCCCGCCCGGCGGAGCTCCGGTAGGGGCGGGCACGGCTTGGCCTGTAAAAAAAGACACCTCGTTAGCACCTCTTGATGCTGTTTTGAAACTCAATTTTTTCCCCAAACTCATCCTTACAAGGTGGTTTTTGTTGCAAGGCTCAGTAGTTCTGAGCTGTGCACACTTTCGTGTGCACAGCTCAGAACTACTGAGCCTTGCAACAAAACTATCCCAAACACCTTCTGACTGGCTACGATTTAATCACAAGATGAGGAAAGTTACAAGGAAAAAAAAAAATCACGGGTAGTCTGAAGAGCATTAGGAAACAACTGCCAAACAAGAAAAAAACAGCTTCATAAAGCACAACTCCAAAACTTAGAAACTATACTTTAAACTACTCATGTTGAGGTATTTAAAGGATGTTGTTTCCCAAGGATTAAACACAGCCGGTATCCAGTATTTTTGTGAAGCTTTTACTACCAAGAAATGCTTAAAATACAAATGAAAGCCGAGTCTGTTTTCCAGCAGTGGATGGTTCAGAGGACAAGGGGACTGGGCATTTTTATTTTTTTTGTGGTAAAAAAGCGAGCAAGACACACACAAGGCTCCTAAAACATCCCAGTGAGCACCCAGAGAAAACCCCCTGCACGCACTCACCCATTTTTTTGTAGTACTCCTCCCAGGCCTTGGTGTAGTCAACCTGCCCTGCTGGTGCTGGATTGGGCTGATCTCCTGAATTACATTAAAAGCAGTTAAAACTAAAACTCCTGGGCTTTGCTATTCATACAGCACACAAATCATCAACTCGGGGACAATCCCAGATGGCAGCACTCGAATCTGACCCTACAAACCTTTGTGGTAAGAGCTACTACAAATATAAAGTATCAGGAAAAGATACCACAAAGAAATGTTTGAAGTGCTTGGCATGTTTTCAAGACTCAGGAAGTGCACACCACTCATAACACAAAATGCTACCTAAAATTCAAGTGGTAAGCCTCATCCAGGCAGAAGTTATAATAACACAACTAAACACCACCACTGTAATTGTCCTAAACCCAATGGAAGTGATGCAACCAAGTGTTCAAGCAAATGGCAGTAATTTTTAGTTATGACTGTTCTGTGTGGTCATTTAGTCAGCCCAAGAGGTGGCAAAATTGTCTTTGGAGTATATTGCATAACAAACTCATTACCCTTACTACTGCTGAAATTAAGAGAAGCAGGGCTGTGAAGCAATAATTTTCAAAGAAAACCAGCTCCTTAAATAAATGTACCCAACATATGAGGACAAGAGTAACAAATAACTGGGCCTTCACAGCTGCAGGAATGAGAAACACGTCCATGTGAGTGAATTTACCTTGTCCATTAGTCTGGGTGGTGGCTGGTCCACCGGGAGGGGCTGCAGGTGGTGGCTGTGCTTGCTGCTGGTAATAGTGAGCATAATAAGCTGCCCACGCTGCTGAATTGGGATCTGTTCCTGGCTTACCTATGAAAACAGAACATCAGCATTTACAAAAGCAGGACTACTATGAACAGAATGCTGCCCTCAATTAATCCTCTCCTACACACTCTTTATTTTCCTCCAAGGAAAAATCCATCTAAACAAAATAACCACGTTCATCTTTATTTTTTCTTTCCAGCACAGACTTTTTGCTCAGGTTTCAGAACAGTGCACTGTACAAAATGTACTTTCATAGGGCTGGTGAGACCAAATGACTTCAGAGCCCTTACAACTACAATGCCATTCGTTACTTTTTCAAGGTGACAAGCAGAAAAAAAGAGACTTTGCAAGTTTAATCAGACAGTCCTGTTAATCAGTGGTAGCACCAAAGAACTGAGTGGGTTCACTCTGGTTATACCCTCACGCTAATGGCACTGGCACCGGTGCAGGAGGAATGCCAAAAACATATTTCTGAAACAGAAGAATACAAAGCTTACTGGGTATTTGCAATGCATGGCAGTTCAACTTTAAGGTAACAAGTCAAACACAAACACACAGCACGTTAAGAATCTAAATCCCCAAACATGGCTAGTAAGCATCACTATTTACTTACAGCTTTGTAGTATAACAATGTATACAATTTAGTATAAAACAGCAATCTGTGCCCCTCCTGCAGCTATCCCCACGGCTCCTGATTTTTATCTACATCTAGGTAAGTCACTGGTGCTGTTTCCTAGGGTTTTGTTGCTCTGTTTCTCACATTTGGCCTTTAGCAACGGTTTTTTGTTGTTGAATCACAGATTGCTTATGTTACCAGACTGGTAATCCACAACACCTGAAAATCGACTGTGAGAGAACATCATGTTTGACCCAACCATCACATCTTTGCATACAACACTTGCGTTCTTAAAGAGGATTTATTTCTGCAAATAAATGCAGCCAATTGAGGAGAGAATTTCACATCAGGACATGGATAATAACTGATACTAAAGAGTAACTATACACGAGAGTGGAAATATAATCCTCCCCAAACACCAAATAGGTAAGGCAGTGAGTAATGGAAAAGAAGAAACCCCCTGAGAAAAGCATTCAAGAAGAAATCCCCAACAATAAAACGAATGCTAAATGAAATACTGTGACCAAAGTCAGATGTAACCACTTCAAATGCACACAGTAGTTATCAGCATACAGAAAAAAATGTTAATACACTATTTGCTTTTTAATTAACGCTGCTTGCATCAACAACAGTGGATTTAAACTAACATGTACTATGTTCTAAGGTTACCTGCAAATATCAAATAAGCCATTGCTCGACTCCCCCCCTCCTTCCCCTCTACAGTGGAAGGACAAAAGAGCAGGATTCATTAAATTTCCAAAGAAATCTGCCTGTAGTAACTATCTCCACTTTCACGTGCCAAGGGCTCTGGAGAAAGCACCTCTGAAAAAAACACTAGAACAACCCATTTGTTACACTGAAATGAGCAACTAAGTGAAAACTGTAGAAAATTCACTCAAATAAATACTTGTCAAGAGAAACATCAACTGCACACAGGACATCAGATTTTTAAGATGAGTATTTATCAAAAAAAAACGGTTACAAAATCATCAAGGTGACATTAAGAGAGTATTGCTACTTTTTCTTACACATCTTTATGTAGATAAATTACTTCATAAAAAATTGAAAATATGATTCAAAACAGTCTAAGGTTTTAGCAGTGGTTTTGCATTAAATGACATTTTTTTATATGCTGAGAGTTGAGGTCACTTTGAATCACTCTACATTTAAATAATGACAACAGGCATTTTTAAATACTAACTGGATGCATGCAGAGCTACCTTTGCAAAAGTTTGGGAACTGAAACCAGAGATGGTTCTTGGAAAAGACACCTCCCTTTTTCCACTAATGAACCTGGGGCAGGAAGAGCAGCTATCTGAAAATCCTGATTCCATTGATAAGTTATAATTCAACAGAAACTCCCAGTATTGACAAAGATAATCAAATAGATTCTACATTGATGGGTTTCAGAAGAAAATACAGAACTATTATAAGTCAAAGTTCAAAATACACAACCCTGACTGGTTTTACTGTATTAAGAGCAGTTGAACAGGGACTCAACAAAATACAGCAGTATCAGTCTGAGAAGCAATCCTCACAGGTCAACAAAAACTAAAATAATATACAGCATAAACTATGCAGAGACAGATCAGGGAGACTGAGCAGAATCAAATAAACAGTCATTTACTAGTAGAGAAAGAAAACACATCCTCAATGTAAAAACATGAAGTGTAAGAAAACTGAACTGCACAAAAACAAAGAACCAAGACTCTTGCCCAAAGGATCATAAATAGGGATGCAGTATCAATAACATCTGTAAAAAAGCATATTCCAAGTCTAACAATTACATTTCAACGTCTCACAACAACAAGTGGGAAGTGTCAGAGGCAGGCAGAGCGACAAACAGAAAAGCACAGCCTGAGAGAGGAGCTGTCCAGGTGTCCCTTGGTGACACAAGCGAGCTGTGCGATTACACTGGCCAGGACAAGATGGATGAACTGCAAATATACCCACCCTGCAGGGCAGCTGTGCCATTCCTTACCTGGATCGGGGGGGTTGGGTGGCTGCCAGTGTGGGTAAGCATTTCCCCATCCCTGTGGAGCGTACGGAGCTGGGGGACCGCTGGAAAAGATCAAGGTGCTCGTCAGCGAGAGCAGAGCCAGGGGGACCCTGCGAGGAGGAAGGGGCTGGGCAGGACTTACTGAGGGGCAGGGCCAGGAGGGCCTGGATTGTAGGGAGCTGGATTGTAGGGTCCCATGGGAGCACCGGGACCTGGAGGGCCAGGAGGTCCGTGTGGGCCGGGAACCACACCGTGAGGTCCATGGGGAACAGGTGGTCCCAATGGATTCACCGGACCCTGGAACGGGACAGAGATGAAAATAAACCTCGAGGTTTTCCATCTTCCTGCAGTTCAGAAGCATTTCTGTGAACACTAAGAATGCAGTCCAGAAGATCTGATTGCTCTTAAACAGCAGTCCTGCTGCAAACAGGCAATTTTAAGATTATTTAGGCTTAGGCCTAATTAATCTTAAAATTGCCTGTTTGCAGCAGGCTTAGGCCAGTTAAAGAGAACACTTTAAAGCAGCTGTGGCAGTAATAACTAGAAAGTTGCAATTCTTTCAGTTTTCTTGAGGAAGTAAAAAGTTTTCCAAATGAAAGATGGATTTTTCCACTGGTTGCCTTAAAAACCCTCACACTAATAAGAAACTGTAAGTTTTAAAACAAACCAATACATCTACACCTGACTAATCCTGCTAATTAAACCATTTTGTAATATCAGATACAAAAATCCACTAGTAAATTTGACTACATGCAAGCAAAAGTGCAATGAAACTTGCAGGTGTAAACGTGGATTAAAACTTCACCTAAACATACTGAGATAGAAACTAAACACAATTTAGTAGCTTTTGGAATACCACTGCTATCTTTGAACTCATCCGAGTTTTCACATTCCCAAAGCAGGCACATTCCAGAACACTCACTCCAATCTTTTCCTCTATCAGCTGTCGTGCATAATCGATCTGCTGGGGGGTTCCACGGATGGTGAACATCTTCATGTTGGGATCTGCGTTAGGTGGAGGGTTCCTCTGAAGTTCTATTCTAGCACCAGACTGTTGGCTTATGCTTTTAATCGTTTCCCCACCTGCAGTGCAACATCCAGATTTTAGGGTGGGCATTAGAGCAGAAATACGGACTCAAAACAGGGAGCAAAGGGCATGGAAGCTGAAGACAGAAACATTCTAACAATTTTTAAAAGCCTCTTCAGTGTAGAACAGAGCTTTGATTGCAATAAACCAGTAACAATAAATTATATTTTAAAATTAGAGACCACAATAATGTTACTCAGCACAGCAAAGAATTGCTCCAGTGTTGTCTGGTTTTTTGTTCATGCAAACATGTGAGATCAGACAGGAATAACAACACCACACAGGTTATCAGTAAAGACAAACTCCAAACTAAACTCCCTACAAAGCAGTGAGGCAGCACAGATGACAAAAAACCGCAGAGGACAAGCTGGATAAGTCCACTATTTTTGCAGTGCACTAAAATCAGAAGGTAAATTGCCTAAACTGGCTCCTCCTCTTACAGGATCCAGAGAAGTTTTATGTACCCTTTGTATACACAACATTTTCAAAACAAGGGTAATTTGGCATTTAAAAATTAAAAAAAAAAATCCACCTTCCAGGTCAAGAACTGAACTATGTCAGCCTATTTGGTGTGCCTGGAAAACACAGTATAAACAGGAGATTAAAATTAACTCAGGTGTTTCTTTTTGAAACATTTGGTAAATTATTTGTAAAATTAAATTCAAGAATTATTTTAATGAACACAGGCATGGAAGAAATTGCTGCAGGGTTTCACTGTAAAAGATTTTCATTGGAATGTGTGAAAATGAGTTTTAGGAGCAAGTCAGATTCAGGAACACTTGGCTTTTCATGCAGTATCAAACACAAGGTAATTAATTACAAGATACATCCTCTAAGAAACTACCAAATGCTACCAATGTAACCCAATGTTACTTAAAAACAAGGGCTGAATAAATTCAGTAAATTGATTGCCTCCTGACTTTTAAAGTACTAGGGTGTTTTGGTGAGGAAAATCTGATTTAACAGCACCGTCTTGCTCTGCTGTGAATTATCTGCAAACACTCGATACCTCTCTGTAGTGCTGCATTTGCACCAACAGAAAAGCTGAGTTTTTTTAATCACATATACACACATATATAAAATATATTGCCTTTGCCAATGATTAATCCAGTTTTGCCAGTAGGGACAATGAAGTTGAACTCCTGTAATCCACCAGGAGGCCCCATGTTCCAGTTGCCTTGGCCTCTCCCCCTTCCTCGACCACCAGGTCCTGGCCCACCAGGGTTACCAGCCTGAAAAGAAGCAGCAATAAATGAGCATTTTCTACAAAAACTACTGCAAGGAAGTCATGCCAACAGGCTACATCGCAGCACTTTTAAAGAAAAAACTGATTCACTAAAATCAGATAGTTGGAGGACCTAAGTTACATTTTAAAAGATGTTCTGCAAAACTCTGCACATGAAAGATGAGAGGATATCAAAGCAAGCAGAAAGCTTCACATGCACAGAGATGGAATTTCTGGCTGCCTTCTGTAAATGCAGCAGGGGGGGTTCATCTAAGAATACAAGCTGGTTTAAATGCCTGAACACCAGTTACAATCAGAAGTAACAGCACGTTAGCTATTAACACAAGAAAACAGAGGCAGCAACTCTAAAACCACCTCAGGAACGGCCATGACCTTGAATCAGTTTTATCACTTGCAACACTGTAACTGTAAAAGCAAACATTCATATTCCAGACCATTGAACTATTTGCTTTAGTTACACACACACACACACTTTCTGAAAATCTGAGGTCTTTCCCACAGGTGGGCAGGAGATCTGGAATGGTAAATAACGTCACCCAACCTGGACACTGCGAAGCAGATCTGTAATAATTTCTGCAGCGTGCTGACATCTGTCAGGGGGCCCCGTGATCTGGGCTATTCTGTCTGGAGTCGTTCCATCATCTGCAACAAAAAGGAACCGTTCCAGTACATGCAGCCCAGTAAATGTGCAGTCAATTCACGGGAAGTTGGGAACGTGTTACGCACCTGGCTTGAACTGGATCCTAACACCAGCATCGTTCTGGATCTTTTTGATCATCTCTCCGTTCCTTCCGATCACAATTCCTACAGCAAAGCGTGGTATTGGAACCTAAGGAAAAAACCCAAACAAAGCAAGATGTTGTTGATGCAGAACAGATATTCCTACCAAATCCACAGAATGAAAGGGTAACACAGGAGGACAGTAATGAGGGCAAGGCCTGTGCCACTTCAGGCTTTTTCAAGTGTCTATTTTTTACCAGTCACAAGTCTAGCAAATACTGGACTACAGTACCAGAAATTAAGCAATCTCATGCACTACAAGTTCTCATAGTGGTAGCAACTGCAGTGGATATTATGCTTCTCAGAATAAAGTTACAAAGGGTCTAAAATGCAGGTTCTAGCAGATGAAACTTTCAGCCTCTCATTAGCTTGTGACTCATATAACAGGTGAACTTAAACATCCTTACATACAGGCCAAACTCCAACTCTGGTAACATTAAAGTGTTATATACTTGGCCATAAAACTGACTTGCTTATTTGACAAGTTCCAGCTGCAACAGTTCAGAGCAGCTGGCAGTGCCAAGCCAGTGCTGCGCACCAGGCAGGGCTAGAACTCCAGCAGTCATCAGGTCATACTTACAGGCCACCACCACCACTTGTGAAATCTGCTTAAGAGCTTTCAGCAGTATTACCCAGCTTAACATTTGCAAGTTAACATCTCAAAAGACAGTGAACAAGTTTTTCAACCATGCTTACGTCTATCCCTTCATTTCCTCCTATTCTTGACCCATACTCGTTGCGCACCTCTCTAAAGCCACCTTGATCACGGATTAACTCCAGCACCATTTCCTTGGCTTGCTAAAAAAGAAGGGAACTTCATTTAGGTACTGCAGTATCAGAATGGATTTAGAAAGGCTCTGAGGATTGTGAAAGACTCCTTACTTGAACTTTGTAAGGGTCTCCAGTTATCCTAAGGGGCTTGTCTGCACCAGTGTTCTGTGGTCCATCTTGAATCATGACCATTTTGACACCTGCCCGCTCCTGTTTGACAAAAGGGAGGTCAATACCCACTCGAATCTACATTGATATCATCACATTTCAAAGATCCATGTATACCTGTAACTGTTTAATTGTCTCTCCACCTTTCCCAATAACTAATCCAGCTTTACTTGCTGGAATCATAATTTCTTGGACTGCATTTCCAGGTCCATCACCGTGATGAAAGCCAGGTGCAGGTCTTCCCTTTTCAACTATCTGATCAAGTAATCTTTTGGCTGATCTGTGAAAGAAAACACATATTTATAAACCGTTATTCCTACAACTATCACTTGCCCACACCTATTCTCCTTGGAAATTCTTTCAATCTGAAAAGTCTCTGTCCAGAAAATGGGCTTACTAACACCAAGAAATAGGAGGCAAACTCAATAAATTTGCAGCAGTAACTTAAGGAACTGTAAGGTGACAAAACTCCCCCAATATGAGAATGCAAAAGGTGGTTCTTTACCAAACAAGCTCAGCTAAGTTTCCTCTTCAACCATGACCATCACACCTGAATAAAGTTACACTGCTCAAAGCTTGACTCTGAACGAAAGCTGCTGCAGGCAGGCCAAGCAAGGACATTTGTACTTGTAACCACCACCAGAAGGGCGGACAAGAGCATTCACCACACCTGAAGGTCAGCTGCCAGCAGAGGATTGTCATCAGGATTTCACTAACATCAGTTAAGAACTCTCCCCTTTAATATGTGAGCAGAATAAATTACAGTTACAAAGAGAATTCCCCTGAAGGAAATGCCTTCCTGAATGGCAGACTTGAAAGGAGAATGACACCTCCCTTCCCAAAGGAAAAGATGTAGCTGCAGGCCCTACCTGCAAACATGAACCATTACACCACTGCACTCCAGACCTGCCCTAGCAAAGCCTCCATCAGTTGGTCTTCAAGTCCCTTTTCAGCATATGTTTATTTTTAATTTATATCCACACATCTCTTTCTCAAGTTGAGAACAGTGCATGGTTGTGCAATTACTATCTACAACAACATCTGGACTTGAATTCAAGTTGAAGTTCTACTCTTTCTGTCCTAAAATTTCAAGTATGCTGGGAAATGTGATCACAGGTTAAGGGGCTTTTTTTCTCCTGTATATATTTAGTTGTCACCAAACTGCCTCTTCAACAGAGGAAAAACATCTCCTATGTAGGTATTACATTCAGATCTAAAAAATGCAGCGTACTGCCCAACCTAACATGCACACACAGAACTGGTTTCACTTACTGAACAGACTCTGGTGTTCCAGTCAGCATACATGATCGCTCAGGCAGGCCTCCACTATCTGCAGCCAGCAAATAAAACCAACTTGTCAGTAGTGTAAAGTCAGAAAGAGAGCATGAAATTAATCCTATCCCTTATCTTTAGACCGTGACAGTCACAACTCCACCAAACAATTCGAGTGTACCTTTAGTGAAGGCTGAAGCAATGAGAAGCAATGAGAAGCAATAAACATTCTTCTGACCCTTCTACCACCCCCCAGACAAACAAATGTAAAAAGCCCCAGATAGTTACCGGGTGCAATCTGTATTTTACAGCCAGACTCTTGCTGGATGCGGGAGATCTGCTCTCCACCTCTGCCAATGACTTGAAGAAAGAAAATACAGAAAGGTTATTTGTATTGACAGCATCTGCTGACATCCTGCACTACACTACAGGACACATCCACACTACTTACTGAATCCAACCATCCCATCTGGAACTTTGTATTCCTCTGTCATCACAGACCTACAGGGAATGTCAACCAGAAGACAGTGACCATCCAGAGGCTGAAGGGGTATTACATTTTTATACATACCTTTAAGAAAGCTTCTGCTCCCACCATCCCCCTCCCATTACCTTCACAAGTCATGATGCAAGTACAGCTGCTCCAGCTGACAATTCACAGAAACAACCCAAAAGGTTCAAGGTTAACACAAATCAATCCCATCATCACTTCATTGTGGCACAGAAAATGCCACTGGAGCATTTTAAGGTTCATCTGCATATCCACCACAGCGTGCTGAAAATGTCAGCATCTCATCCACCAAACCTATCCACACCACAAGAATAACAGCTGGATGTGGTTCAGGCAAGAAAGGAGTGAGAAAACCGCTAAGTTGTAGCTGAGTGATACTCTGTGTAAGGTTTAAATTGTTTTTGTTGGGTTTGAGTCCATCAACGTTCCTTTCTGTTCCCAAGATTATGTTCCCCTCTTCAGATCTGCTTCCAACTTCCAGTTCTGCTTACCCATGGCTCAAACAGCAAAACCAGCAATGTATTTCCCTTTTATTAAGCCTGATACACAGCCCAGGCTGGGAAGAGAAACACCAATGCAGGTGCATTTCACCTGTCTGACTTAGGACTTGCTGAAGCCACATTTCAACAGATCACACAAATACAGGGTTGGTATCACTTTTCCAGGAAAAAAAATTCTCAAATTTGCCTTATTTCAGTAAAAACAAAATCCTTACATCCTCTGCAGTGCGACTCTTACCTTTGTTGCTGATGCATCGGTGGTAGCTGATTTCCAAAAGCTATAAACAAATATTGTTCAAATTAAATTCAAACAAGTGGTGTAGTTTACAACTAAGCTTCTGCTTTGGTAACGAAACTTAACTGTATCCATATTTTGCCCAAGTTGGCTTTTAAGAATTCTTATCAACAGGTTTACAAACAAGCTGAAAACGTTCTGAACTGTTGCTAAAACTGACACCACTGTCAGTTTGACAAAGACTGGCTTTGCAAAATGAGACACAACCCCCCGGCCATTCTTTTGATCACCTACCAGAACACTTTCAAACTCTCGTTCTGACTATGTTACACTTGTTTAGGGTTTTTTGGCAACAAAAGAAAAATTACTTACAGTCATTCTGAGGAGCAACTTTCTTAGCATCTGGTTGATCTGCAAAATTAAGATTTTTAAAATTTTTTTTGCCAAGGAACTCAAGCAGTGTTTAAACGTTTCAGTGTGAATTGTAAATTTCCAATGTATTTAAGCCCCCTTTCCTTTTTTCCTTTCTTTTTTTTCCTCCAATTTCAGGGAGTTGATCATCTGAATAAAAGAAAGACTCTCAGGAGCACTCAGCACTTGGTTAGCATAGCTGAAAAGATGTCAGGTTTTTCCATGTATCTATTCAGTAGTTTAACAAAAGGCAGCTTTCAGGACACACTGTGTGTAGATTGCTCAGATACCCAGTCACTGAAACTCAACTAAGACAAGGAACAAAGTTGAGCTCTGTTGGTTGCTCAAGCTAATGATGCTTCTATAGTAAAAAAAAAGAAAAAAAAATGAAATCCATACAAAAATCAACAATGACTTAAAAGAAAAAATACAACAGTATCACATGGCAATGCAATCTCGATCTGAACGTTGATATGAAATTCCTATCCAAATATCAAGCATTTCATAGCATAAAACTTCCAAAAAAAGCAGATTCAAGCAACTACATCACTACTGTCCAAATCCTTTCTGTACAGTAGAGAAATAAAAGGCATCATTAACCTGTATCTGAAAAGATAAGACTTCAGATGCTTCCTTCCCACCCCAAAAATAAAGGCTACATGAACCACCATGATTTATGTGCAGCAAAAACTCAGACAGGTATTCCAAGAACTATCTGTGTCAATCCAGAAAGATCCACTAGTTTATGTCATGTTTACATACTAAACACAGGTAATAAATAAAAATTCCTGCCTTTAAAAGGAGAGGGCATTCCCTCCCAGTGTGTTGTACTGCTCGGACTTGTCCAAGAGCCATCTACACATAAAATAAAAAGAATACATTACATATATCATCTGAAGCATCATTAGCTCATTTCTGTATATTAAAAACCTCACCTTTAATAGAAAAAAAAATATTATTGCAGGACACAAGGACTCCTGATATAAAGCCTTAATTACATTCTGCAGACTGAGTTCCAATCCTCTTATAAAGGCAAAAAAAAAGGGCACTGCTCTTTTGTAAGACCTACGAGAACATTTCAACCAGCTCAGAGGTTTCTGTCCATAATTTAGCCAGGATTTTGTCTGGAGGGCAAACACATCAAACCCTGTTAAGCTCAAAGGGGCTGCTCCGTAAGGGACAGAAGAAGACATTTCAGGAGGAAACTTTCCTGCAGTGTAAGGCAAATCCAAAAAGCTGCAACAAGTCACAAGGTTGAAGTATGATCTTATCAGGGTTCACACATGCTGGAGGCTGAAACATCAGACTAACAAAAGCGTCTACAAGGTAGAAAATTGACTTTCCTGTCCTTTTTTAAAGTCCTATGTTTTTACAATGAAATGCAGTAATACTTTAATTTGAAATTGTGCAGTAAATCAAGTCTATGAAACTATTGTAACAAAGTATATGAACCAATCGAGTGTAAAGGGTGAGCACTTCCAACTCTAATTGTAATTGCAACAACAAAAGGCCTCACTGAACGTACCTGTGAGGGCATTTCTCTACCAACAATTTTGTTGCCCCCCTTCCTCAACACACGTTTTTTTATTTGCAGCATTTAAACCACATTTAAAATACTTTACATTCACTTCATCTCAGAGCACAACAGTTTGAAACAAATTTTCCCAGTAAACCGAAAACGAAAAACTATGCCGTGATCTAACAAGGGGAACAAAACGTTTTAATGCTGCGCTTCGGGAAAAGGAAAACCGAATCCACCAACACCTGCAATGTTTCTGGCACAGCGGCCGAACTCCACAAACACAAATGCAGCAGTAACCAGCTCGTACCTCCATCCTCCAGAGGCCTTTTCTGCCCTCCGTAACCGTAGTCGTTCGAGTTCATTGATGTGCCAGCATCTCCTCCAATTTTCGCTGCGATCTAAACAAAAGGAAGACTTTGTGAGCCAAGGAAAAAAAAGTAATTGTACCAGCTCGTATTTATCCCAGACCTCCTAAAAGACTTGAGGAATTCAGACAACGAAAATTAAAATAACCCCAAAGAGAAGACCGCTGCCAAAACCAGTTCCACTCGCGGAAATTTTATGGGTGTTTTAAGGAAGGCTTGTGCTCATCCTTCAACAGCAGGGCTTCCTATGTTTTTTTCATCCGTTGGGGAAAAAAAAAATCGACCTAGTTTCCCTTGAAACTTTTTACTAAAAGGGAATTTTCTTTCCGCGTTGTTGGAGCAACACCACTGTGTCTCACCGGCAAAACAATCCCAGCGCTCAGCAGTCCGACCGCACCGACTTTATAGTACTGCCAAAACCGCGACCGCTCATTAACGGACGGGGCGAAAACACCGCCCGCGGTGCCCACGGAACAAACGGAGCCGCGGGGGAAAGCGCGGCCGCCGGGGCCGCCCTCGCCACACGGGCCGCGCCGAGGGGGCCGCCGCCGCCCTCCCTCCCTCCCTCCCTCCTTTCCTCCCTCCCTCCGGCCTCGATAAGGCGCCGCTGCTCGCTCGCCGAGATTTGTACTCCCCTCGGCGAGGCAGGCCCTGCGGGCCCCTCACGGCGTGTCCCACCGGCGGGGCAGAGCTCCACGGGCCGCTCCTCACGGCGTGTCCCGCCGGCGGGGCAGAGCTCCACGGGCCGCTCCTCACGGCGTGTCCCGCCGGCGGGGCAGAGCTCCACGGGCCGCTCCCTCACGGCGTGTCCCGCCGGCGCTGCCCGCGGCGGAGCGCAGCCGCTCGCACACCTCACTCAGGACGCGGGGACGGGACAAAGCCTTCCCGCTCCCAGAGCCCTCCTAAGCGCAGCGAGGCGGCAGCTCCCCCCCCCCTCCTCCGACTCGTTCCCTCGCAGCTCCTCCGCCGCGGCCTCCAGGCCCCGCCAACCCCATTGATTCGGCTCGGGGCCACGTTACTCGACACGCACCTGCCTCGCCCTCTGCAGCGCGTCCTTAAAGGCATCGTTCACTCCGCCGGCGCCGCCGCCGGCTCCCCCGGGCGCGCCCGCGGCGGGAGGGGGCACGGTGGAATAGTCGGCCATGGCGGCTCCGCCTGCCCACACACAGAGAGACAAAATGGCGGCGGCGCGCGCCTCTCACATTCCTGGGGGTCCCCCGAGCCTCGCGAGAGCTGGAGCGGGATCTGCGCGGAGCCCGCGAGGCGATGCGCCCGGCCCCGCCTACCCGCGGGGTCTCCCGGGGCGGCCCGAAGGGGCTGGGGAGGGCGGGGGGGGGAAATGATCGCGAGGGTTCCAGCGCCGCTGATTGGGCTGTGGGGGTCACGTGGGGTGAGGAGGCGGGGGGGGGGCGGTGAGGGGATCGCGGAGCTGCTGGAGCTGCGCGCGGGTCTCGCGTGGGTTGGTTCGGAGCGCGGGGGCGCGCACGGGCGGGGCCGGGAACTTGGGCAGTGCCGGGAGCGCGCACGGGCCGGGCCAGGGCGGCGTCGGCGCTCGGTGAGTGCGGGACGGGCTGCGGGGCCGGTGGGGGGGTCGGGGCTGTCCCCCCTGCCCGCTGCGTGGCGCGGGGAGCGACGCGAGCGGCGCTGCGGGCGAGGGTGGGAGGGTGCGGGGGCCGTTGTGCTGCAGGCAGGGCCCGCTCCCCGCCCAGCCTAGCCCGGCCCGGCCCGCCCCGCAGGGCCCCGCGGGCGCGGCCGCGCTCGCTCCGAACGGCCCCGGGGCCGTTCCGCGGCTCCGCCACTCGGGACGGGCTGGGCGCTGCCTCTTCCCGGAGCTCTGCTCGGCTCCTGCTCCGATCTCGCCGCTGCTGTACGATCTCCGTAACTAGCGGGATTCCCTGCCGGGCTGCAGAGACGCTGTGAGCTGGGCCGGGTTGAGCGCTGTGACGGGGGGATGAACTGTCCTGAGCCGATAAGGTCAGGGAATATCTGCTCAGGGCCTGGCGGTGCTGCAGGGGAGCGGCCGTGCGGTTGCTCTCGTTCCTTTCTTAGGAGCTGCTCCACAGCGTTTAAAAGATTTAAAAGTATTCCTCGAACTGGTGCTTCTTCTCGGGCTTTCGGTTTACATAAATTTCATACTTTTTTTTTTTTTTTTTTTTTCGTTTAAACCGAAGCGTGTCAGGTCTCTTCTAGCCCAACTGAGTGTGTTTTCTTTGTTGTCAGTTCTCAAAAAATTGTTGATTTAGACTTTTGGGGGTGTGTGGCGTTACAGCTCAGAAAGGTTTTAAGAATAACGTGCATAATTAGAGCCTGCTGAAAAAAACTGCTGAGAAGTATTAATATATATATTCTATTAATGCAGCTGTGGTAGCTGGAGGCAGGGCAGGGAGGGGGAGGAGGGAGGAAAGCAAAATCAGCTTGGGAAAGTGGGAATTTATATCTTTCCTGCTGTTTCCAAGGGATAATTTGCCCTGGAATTATTTCACAGCCTGTTGTTGAGAGTGTGACCGTGTGCGCCGGCCGCGCCATGCAAATAAATAAATTGGGCGACAGCAGCTGATGACGAGGCGTTTAAGCCACTGGTGGCCACTGGCTATGTCTTTTGTGGCTCTTCCCTGATGCAAATCCATGTGGAGCATCCACGTGCTCTGCTTTTTTACTGTTCCAAACTCTGCAGGAGATTCTTTGCCAGCTGAGACGAGCCGGTGGCTGTGGAATGGTTTTTAAGGGGCTACTAAAAACGCTCTTGGGAATGGTGATTTTGGATTTTTTTTTTTTTTATCAGCTTTTTGCTTCTGTTGGAGGTGATCGCTGTATTTTTAATTTTTACAGTCAGAACCTGAAATTCAGCAAACTGAAGAAGGGAATACTTTGAATACTTTATTTCCCCTGTTCCTGAGTTGCTCTAATGACCTTAATTAACAGTTCAAGAGTTTAATTCTCTCTGTATTTCCCGTGCTGGCACTTTAACCTCTCTGCTAGAAAACCACGGCTCTTAAGCACTCTCGTCTCCATTTCCCTTTATTAAATGGTACTTCTGTTAGGAAAAATATCCTTATGGGATTAATCCTTTAATCTCTTGGTGGAGTGGGGTGAGGATCTAACCCCTTAGCAGTGCTGACTGCAATATTCCAGTAGCACACACCAGGATATTGTGTTTTCTCACCTGTAGAAGTTGCTCATTGCCTGTTTTGTCCAATCTACCTTCGAATAAATTAAATTTCCTACATTTTTTTTTAAAAGGTCTTTTGGTGTTTCTGTAGGAGATTGGAGGAAGATGACTCTGTTAACTCGACTTGCTGGATTATGACATCTCTGATGGTTTCCAGGCCACAGTTGTTTGGGGTTTTTTGGTAATCAAAAACATTGAGGTGAAACTGTGGAACTGTCCAAAGTCTTAATATATTGAATTTTTGGAAAGAAACCGTGTAAAAATTGCAGATATAGCACATTTTATTGTTGTGAACCCCACTTCATTTGTATTTGAGTTAAATTTTGACTGCCCTACAGATGAGTATCAAACTGGATCAGGCCACCGTTGCTTTGGGTGTGTCCAAGGCAGGAGGATAAATCAGAGAACACTCATTTTTTCCTGAAATAAAGCTGCAGGGAGACTGTGGAGCACCCTGCAGGAGGAGTGTGGGGTGAGAGGCAGCTGGATAATATGAGTCAGCACCACCAGTGTCATCAGTCCTCAGCTCTGACTCGTTTGAGGGGGCTGCGTGTTTTTGTGGGGATGTCATGGGAAGGGAAGTTGGAGAGCTGTTCACATCTGCAAAACCCCTCCCAGATGGGGGAGAAGGGGGAAGGGCCTGGCTGGGGTAAATTGTGCATGGAATTGCTTGTAAATGGGGATTAAGAGAGGCAGAGATGGGAATGGGGGATTGGGAAAGGGAGAACAAATGAATAATGCAGAAGGAGCTGCAGAGGGTGGAAGTGTCTTTAAATATCCCTCTTTCAGCAGAGCCCTGAAGAGTCCTATTAATAAGTGTGCAAATACTTTGTTAAGTTCAGGCAGAATTGATGCTCAGAATTGTCATTTGAAGTGGGAAAAGCTTGATTACTTTGAGGAGATTGGGACACTTCCCTGTTGCATAGGCCTGATCCCTCACAGTATTCTGATCCTGTTTAATTAAGTTTACAACTTTATTTGTTCATTTAGGAGTCAGAAAATCTTATTTTGAACCACACTGTGCTTATATCACAGGGTAAATTAAAAAAAAACAACATAGAAAGGTAAATATTTTCTGAGACTGAGGAAGGAAAAATGGAAGAGATGATTGAGAAGCTCTAAATTGCTAAATCCCTTCAAGTCCATAAAACCGTGATTATGACAAGCTTCTCTTAACTCCAAATCTTCTTAAACTTGAAGGGTCACATGCATGTTTGGGGAAAAAATAAATGTTTTGCAGTGATTAGCAATGCTCCATAGGCTTAGAAAGGCAATGAATGTTGATGGAAAAAAAATCAGTGTAATAATTGGACTCGATGTGAAGGGCAAGAAAACAGGAGATTCTGTAAGCTGAGCTTCACCAAAAAAATAAACCTGCAAATCTCTGGCCTCTGGATTGGTGTTTTCTGCAGAAGACAGGGAAGGGAGGTGTTTTACTGCCCTTTAACAGTCCTGAGTGGACTGATCCTGTGGAATGTTTGGATTAAGAGTGTTCGTTTCCATGACTGTTGCCTTGCAGCTGTCCTCCAGTTCATCGCTGGGGTTTGTGCTGGATTTTTTTAGAAGGAGCAGGGAAAAAGTAAAAAGCAAATACTTGAGTTTTTACAGTGATTTGTCTTTCTAGGACTTGCTACCATGCAAAGTTTGACTTCTCTTGCATCAGGTTGTGGTTAATACAACCAGGCCTGCCTGTATTTCTGCCTCCTGCAGGTGAGCTGAAGCTCACTCTTATTGACAGGCTGGCCTTTCAGCTTGCCCAGAGTCGTTCTGACATCTCTTGTTGCAGTTCCTCTCCTGACACAACAGTTCAGTGTTCTCAGCCTTGCCTGTAAAAGTGGTTGGGTGGGATTTTAACCAGCACACTCTGGGAAAAGCATCTCCTGTGACCATCTCCTTTTGCTGGTGGAAGGACAGAGGGATCACACGGGCACAGCACAAAAATGGGCGCAGCTCCTTATTTGGGAGTGCGTTAATGACCCTCGTTAATGATCCTAACCTGTGAGGACTGGCTTTATTCCACAGGTGCCCTGATTCTCTGCTGCTGCTTTGCTGAGACAACAGGTTATTAATTATTTTGTTTGGTGGAAGAAGCCCCTTAGGATTACTTTGCTATAAGTGAAGGAATTGCTGCCATGGTTAAGGTAAATGCCAATAAATTGTTCTGAGTGACAGTTTATTTTTTCTACAGCTGAAAGGCTAAAAGAAGAGCTCTGTTATGCAGCTTCCACTGTTTTAGTTAGTAAATGAAACATTCTGCCAGTCCTGATGTTTCCTGGGTGAGGAAGAATTGCCAGAACTAACTTTGTGAGGGGTATAGAAATAAACACATTTTAAATGCCTTTAAAACATCTCCTTTTGTTGTAGTTTCTCGAAGGAAACTCGACAAGGATTGTTGTGCCAACCGGTGCTATTTTTCCCTTGTACTTTTGCTGTTCATCAGTCCATAGCACTACTATTACTAACTACATTTTTTCAGACTGAAGAATTCAAGCCTCCCCAGTTGTTTCTCGCGTGGAAACATTCATGTGTCTTTTAATTGTCATTTATAGTCCTCTGAACGTTTTTTTTTTTGAAGATATTATATGTGCTTTACTGTTAATGCTGAGAAAAGTGTGACATGGAAGTCTGTGACATATATAAAGAATATGTATGGTTAGTAAATTAATCCTGTGTGATGGGCATTGATAAAATATTCAGGGTCTGAGTGTGCTGGCAGTTGAGAATCTGAAAGACTTGTATTGCAGCAGTGTGTTTCCTTAAAACAATTACCAGAAGGGCCATAAAACTTAATAAATTCACACAAAACCCAGCTCATCTTGGAGGGAATCTGAATACAAAAAGTGTTAAGCTGTTCCTCATCTTAAATATCTTGTTATATAAGCAGCACGGGATGGTTGGTGGCATGGGAGTCAGAAAGCTGACAATGTGATAAATGTGTGATTAAGTCTAACTCTTCATTTGCAAATGGGCTGTGGCAGGAATTCCCTGAGGCTTGGAGAAATTCCTGAGTGATAGCCATCAGAGCCAAAAGCAGTTAGAACAAAAAGCCAGACCTTTTTATATGTTTAACTCTAAGGGGAAACTTTGGCTACTGTGGGGGTTTTTTTCCCTCTTTTTTTTTTTTTTTTTTTTTTTTTTCCCTACAGATGTTTACTGAATTATGCACGGCAGCACTGAGTGCCTGGAGTGTGTGCTGCTGTGGGAAATGCTGCAATTAATAATGGGAGGGAACCCGTGAAATGTTTGGCGTGATTGGCATTGTTCCTGCTTGACCAATCCACTTGAATAAGAATCCTTTTCCAGGAGCTGTGCGGGTGGGAATTCAGAACCTCAGTAAGGAGCTGAGAAGCACTTGTGGAATCTCTGTTCTTTCGGGAGAGGGAAGC